AAAAAAACTACCACTGTTCTGTTCAAAAGCTTCTTAAGAACTCTGACGAAACAGTTGCAAGGCTTTTCCTTTTTTAGCTGTATAGATAGTCACTTTAAATCAGGCTTCAGAGGGTTTATGCCACTGACACCTGACTTTGTTATAGATGACTGCTCCAACATTACCGACGTTCCCTGGCAGATTCTCCTACACGGATGGCAGCTAGATTCTTTGCATATGGGGATCGAGTTCCGGGTCGAGACTCGTCCAGGCCAACCAGGTCTCGTCCCTCCTGAGGGAAGGCTTGACTGGTCTAAACGGGAAGTTCGTGGGGCGCTTCAACAGTCGAACTCTCCAGGCTACTTGGCAAATGAGGATGAAGCATGGCGCTTAGCGTAAACCAACTATAGCGATGCCAAAAGCTCATATGTACCAGCTCTGAACCACGATCTGAATTCAAGGCCATAACGCTCTGTTGCTCGTGAGATGTCAAGGGAACGACTACCCATCAAGGACTGCGAACAGCTGGACCGAACCGAATGACGACGAGAGACAAAGGGAAAGGGGGAAATGCCTTCTCCCACACGGCTTCCCATGGAATTGGCTCACATCAAAATCGGTGTTTGAACTGAATTCCAACCGTGCCCCTCCGATCTCAAGCCTATTATCCCGCACGAAAGTTTCTCGAATGGATTCCTGGACTATCAATCATTCTCTAAGTCGTAACCTTCTTGCTTTTCTTCGCCGGAGAGTCCAAAAAACGTCTACACATTGGAAAAGCTCTTCGCACTAATGGAAGACACATAACTGTATAATCGGACCTTGTACGGAGAAAGTCTAGACAAAGTGATCGTGAGCGTTCCAGATATTGCGGAGAACCTGTTGGACCGGTTGGATAATAAGTGACAAGATACTTCACACCTTTCAGACAGACCCTTCACATGACAGTACTTTCATGACCTTTAGTAAAACAGCTTTGGAGTCACGTAATAAGCAAAATCACCTTTGTGTTAAATTTTCTGTGAGCGATCACAACAGCACAAGTGATCAGCATATTGGCCGATGCCGCTATACAAAATACAATTTTGCAATATCGATTGAGAACTGAAATTAGGTGTATAGAAGTCTTTTTGAACCATGTTTCTCTGGGCATGGCTCTTTTGAGATTCCCAGGATTGCAAAGACGTCCTACATTTCTGGATTAGCGAGCTTGAATAACTGACCTATGGAGTCTTTCCGGATGGTGACAACACTAAATATTGCCATGGCAAAAAATTCCACTGTTGACAATGCAAATATTAGTTCATTCAATAATTTATGTACATATGATGATGAAGCAAAATCGGCTCGAATCAGACCCCTGAAAAGTGAATGATTCCGAGAAATCCATCTTGAAATTGCAGCGAATGGAAGGCAAGAAGTCGAGAAGACATATTGAAATAATTGCGATCATGGGCAACAGGCTATCCTTTTAAATAAGGTCCTTGTCTTCCCGGGGTTTTCACACATTCTGATCCCATCGAAAAGAAAGTATTTTGGTTGCATTTGGGATCAATTCTGCGCAATATCAATGATTGAGAGTCTTATCGATTGAGAATCTTCTTCACGATTGTGTTTCTTTCAGGAGCACAAATCTATAAAAATCCCTGAACTAGGACCTATACTGAGTGGTAGATATCCCTGCACCTCAAACTCCAACTCATTAATTTAGCGTCACTGTGGTGAAAACCATGGTAATGACTTACTTTTTTAACATTCCCTCGCTGATTTGTTGAAAAATTTGCTACCTCTATTATTTTGGAACTGAAATTGGTGTTTATCAAAGGTGTCGATGACTGACTATGTCATGTCCACCACCTATCGTCAATGCGAATAGCTTACGTAAACTCTATCAAACTTTATCCCCTGTTCGTGTAGTGTATACAATTTTTGAGCTCTTATTACGCCCCATAAAGGACATTTTTTGATCTAACGGCGTTATATAAAGCATACTAGTTAGCATACCAGCATACCAGATGAAATCTAGGGGGATATCTCAAAAATCATTCTCTTCATAAACTATGCCTCAAAGATGAATGCACTATGGGATTCATTGAGGCTGGTTGAATTCATCCACGTTCTCAAACATTCACGATTATATTGGACAATGTTCTTAAGACTTTTTTTCCTCACAAAAGAAACTCAAAAAGTTTCAGTCAGAAAAATTGTATAGTAGAAATTGAAATGAACCTACCTTCTGCAATGGGCAATGGTGAGCCTGACAACTATTGATAAACATGTACAAATTCTGAACATAACGTTTCCTACGACGTTCATTTCGAATAAAGTTAGCACAGATGGAAGGCCGTCTGCTGGGAATGGAATAGTCGACTGTAAATAAGGTTCTGTGTTTTTCAAAAGATAAAGGAATAGTTTCAATAAAGGAAATTCACTTTTCCAATGAACTTGTTACTAAACATTATACACAAACACTAAATAAAAACTCGAGACTTATTCCAATTTGGGAAGATATCAAGAAGACTCATTTCTCTGTAAATTATTTAACTATCCGAGATTGAGATGAGGATGCAGATGCCGTTATTAACGCTACCAGAGAAGACTTTGGAGCTTTCCCCCGGGGAAAACGCAGGAGATGATGCAACTAGCTGGCTTCCACATCCTTCAAGGCACGAATTCATGGTCATACAGCATCCTTAGTTTCTGGGTCCCTACTTAACCCTCTACATTGATTTTTCGATTATTCGCGTACTTAAGTCCTGTAGGTTAGCCTTCCAATTTTCAAGGGTTATCAAATGTACCAGATCTTTCTGGGAGAATTTGTACATCGGCTGGCCTTCGCAGGTCACTTTACGACCCACATACACATTCAGTACGTTTCTACGATTCTGAATGGAACTGGATCGAGGGGGCGCATTGCACAGCCGGGATGCACCGCCTCAATCCAATTCCACGCCTACTCGATTACTCTGCGCAATCGCTCATCTGAAGGCAGCTCGATAGAGATTTGCTGCTCTTCAACACTCTACCACTATTAGCGTAACCTCTTCTATTTCTAGTTAACAGATGAACATATGCATAGATATCATTATACAGCGATTTTCAGTCAATTTACACAACTATGCATGGATCCTAGGGAGAAAATTAACCCTTTGACGACAATGCGGACTTCGACGTGACACGCCCATTGAACTACGCTCCCCTATTTCCG